CCCCAAAACCCCAAAACCCCAAAACCCCGGAATCAGGGATCTTCGAATATCTTTCTGGATAAATATCTACAATAAAATCAAATTATATTATTCAGCCAGCCAGCAAATAATAACTAGAAGCATTAAGATATCATTCATAGATTTAATTACTGATCTCACAAGGCTTTATAATGATACTAAGATATTTATCTAAGTAGAAGCTGTAAGATCAATTTCTTCAAAATTGATTGTGATGCCCTGCTGCTCCACTCGCCCCACTAGCTTAATGATCAAGACTCATATTAGAGCTCTTACGTCTGGTGGGACTTGAACTACTTGAGCTGGAACCTTCTTGCCTGTTCTTTTTCTCACTTGCTCTCTCTCGATTTGGAGTAGAAGTTCTGCGTTCTCTAGGAGTAAAGCTCACACCTTGAGGAGCCAGATTATTAATATTTATGGCATTTTTGTTTAATCTCTTATTTGAACCTTCCCTTGATCTGTTAGTGAGCAATTAGATGTTATCAATAGAGTCATCTCTTTAAGAGTATTCACTAACAACATTGTTTCTGCCTCTGTTGGTTTAATTGTCATCAGTATCCCCTTTTCTGCATATAAAGTAATACAATGAAAATGTCATCAGAGATGCCACTACAATGATTATTATGCCTATTATTGTTTGAGAATTCCAAATCTATGATTTATTTTGACACAGTTTTTCAATGCAACTGCCACTCATACATTCAGTGTCAAGATCGCAATAGTCCCCGTTACTTTTCCTGCTAGAGCATATAGCACTGGATGAACAAAAGTTAAATGAGCAGCACTCAGAATCGCAGTCAGAGTTTACAGAGCACTTTTGTACACAGTTTATGAAATGACTGCACTACTTCTTATTGCAGCACCTAGATAAACACTCAAAGTTGAAGTCACAAAAGTCTGCACTCTGCTTCTATCCATTATAGCACACACTGCCTGGAACACATTTAGTTTCTGAACAGCAAAATGTTGATACCTGGCACTCATCATTCGACTGGCAATATGAGCCGATGTACATGGGATCTCCACTATCTGCTGAAATACTATTTTACTGCTCTTGACAAACTATTTAACATTGAATTAGATGGAATAGTAACTTACTGCTATAATTGAAGAGTAATGCAAATGAAATGATTATTGAGTAGAAATTATTTGACTTTCGATTTGAATTATTTGATATCATTTTTGCTTATTTTAAAAATTAACTAGAAATTAATTATTCAAGATGATTGAAATTCAGATTTCCCCTTGAAACAGCTAACAACCAATCTTTCTTCTAATTTTCAAGATGGGGTTTTGGGGTTTTGGGGTTTTGGGG